TCGAGTATTAACGAGAGTGGGATATCGTTAATGCATGTGAGACTAGTGTGTGTTGGATGTTTTGACTTAGTCTCATAGTCAATGACGGTGTGTTCGCATCCGCACATGGGCAGATATTATCTAGAGATAATAGGATGCCGGACTGACCCATCCTAAAGATGTTGCTTGAACTTTTAGTTCATGCTCTAAATATCTTTAGCGCGACCACGGGTGTAACTATCCTTCGACTTGAAGTATTACGTTTTCTGCATATGTGAACCCGCATACTTTGATGCATTGTCCTAAGCTATATGAAATAAGGATGGTATACAGGCTTTGTTTTGGGTATGCCGCAACGCGTATTCAGAAACATAGATTATGTACATAGGATTTGTCACTACTCTTTTAAAAAGAGATTAATGTCTTATGGGGCCCACTGATAAGTTATGATTGAGGAAATTGCATGGCCATGCTGAGATGTTTTTATGACGTCTGTTCCTATTAGTCAAACTTGATAAATCAGTGAATGACTTAATGGATACACACTGGATTTTATTAATCCCTTGCATTAAGTTTAGACATTGAGACAAAGGGATACAGTTACACGGAGTTTGAGCCGTGGAAAGGTTTTGACGGTGCAAACGTCTTAACTTATAATCTGAGGGCAATAATGTGTTGCTAGATACCGCTTATTGCTTATAGTATTGGTGCAGAGCCAATACTGTGGCCAGCTTTATAAGTGCCTATACGGGTCACACAATTTGGACAATTTAAGGAGTAGGATTAAACAATGGGATAATAAGTAATTTGTATATTTGTAAAAAATAGTAAAATAAAATATTTTGGAATATAATATATATATATAAATATTCGGTTATATATATTATATATATGTGCCGATTAATATATATATATATATATATTTTATGTTGAATATTTTATTTTGATTTGTCATTTTAATTATGAAAATAATTATTTTGATATAAACTATTTAAAGTATAGTTGTATACTTGTTTAAAATGATATTGGTATTTTTATTTGATTTAAAATTAATTTTATATTAATTTTTGGTGTCAAATAAAATACACTTTGAACATTTAAGTAGAGAAGAATTTTGAAAAATCCTTCTCACTTTCTCAAATTTTTTTTGCCAAAGTGTAGATTTAGAGAATCAAACTATACATTGATTGCTTAATTAGTGGAGCTAATTATTTTTTGTCATTTAGTTAATGACAAAGTCAAATTCACCATCTTTTTCCCCTTAAAATATCACACGCCACTTTTAAAACAATGTGAGAAATTGTTTTTGAGTGCTTTTCGGCTATACCATCTTAGAGAGAGAAATACTATTTTCAGTGTTCAATTAATATCATTTTGTGCATAGAAAATATCTATAATATTTTCTAAATATTATTAGAAATATTTTCTATAGAAATATACAAGATAATTATTATTCCAATTTTAATCTTTATATTTTATACTACTATAATCTTTACTAGCATAAAGATTGTGGTAGACTCCGGCGTTGTTCGTGTGTCAAAGTTGGAGACCGGACGCTTGAACGGTTACGTTTGCACTTTCAACGCTCTTCCTACGACTTCTTCGTTTTTACCGCTTACGGAGAAAGGTACAAATTTCTTACTACTATCAGTTTTAGTACGTGATTCTGGCCAAGATAATCATGTTAGGATGTTAAAATTTTTATATTCCGCTGCCTATCCTTGCATGGTTACCTTTCACAAACATCGTTCCTCCAATATCAAATGCCGCCCCCGACTTTCCTCCAAACTCATTCAGCCCTTCTCCTTTTTGAACAACACCGGGCTGAGTTAGGGACCGGCGGTGTCGCGGGGGACTGTGGCACAGCATCGTACGTCGGCAGCGGGGGCACCAGCAGTGGCGGGCCACGGCGCAGGTGGAGGACGGACTGATTCCAGCGGCGGCGGCGGTCCTGGACAGCCGCAGTACAACCGGCAGCGCGGTGGACAGCAGCGGGGTCGTGGTCGCGGCCGAAGCTCCAGGTCAAATGCACGGCACACCCACGGGCAGCCCTCCGGACAGTTCACCAACCCAAACCCCAACCCGGGCCTTCTCGAACCACGCCCCAATCCTCACCCACACAACCCCTACCCCCAAGCCTATTTCTCCACCCCCTACCCATACGCCAGTACACCCCACAGCCAAAACACCCCCTACCCCAGTCCTTACCCGACAGCCCCGCCTAACCCGCCATCCACCCCCTCCTCTACCACTTACCCAGCTGGTGCCAACCACCTCACACCCACCGCCCTTAGCCCACCATTTTGACACCCTCACCCTCCACGATCCAAATTGGTACATGGACACTGGTGCCACCCACCATATCGCCTCGGACCCAGGTACCCTTTCTCATGTTCGTAATCA